CTAGCATACTCACTGCTTAAATAGTGCTTTCATAGCACAATATCTGATTAAACACAGTATATTACTGGAAAACAATGTCTTATTTCAGGATTACTATCATAAAAATATAAGACAGACATTTGTGGACAACATTACCAGCACATCATGTAAGTAAATAAAAGGATGTATAATACATCAGTCTATAAAGGACAAAGCAGCCATCCCCAAACTGGCTACTGACAAACAACACAACATTTTCACGCAGCATTAACAGAGGGCGTCTGCACTGAAATTATGAATGCATCAGGCAGACATGGATGAATTGAACTGGAAATGGGATGTTTTGTGAGTAAATGGGACAAAAGCATCTAAAATATTGCATAGATTGTGGGTGCTGGAAGAAGAGAAAACCTTTTGGATAAATCATGATACAGTATGCCGCATGGTCATGCTACTAGTTGAAAAATTGAGACAGAACACAGAATATTATGGCAATTAATGAATAAACAGTGAAATTAACATATACACGTGCTCACCAAGGCTGCATGTAATTGATTAAAAACACAGTAAAAACAGTAATATTGTGAAATATTATTTTTGTATTGTTTTCTGTTGTAAAATGTAATTTATTCCTGTGATGCAATGCTGAATTTTCAGCAGTCATCATTACTCTAGTCTCCAGTGTCACATTATCCTTCAGAAATCATTCTAATATGCTCAACAAACATTTCTTATCATCACTGTTAAATTATTATTATTTTTTATTTTTTGTGGAACTGTTGTACCTTTTATTCAGGAGTCTATGATGAGAGAACGCTCAAAAGAGCAGCATTTATTTGAAATATTAAAGACATGAAAAATCTTACAAATGATTTTTGTCACTTTTAATCAATTTAATGCAACCTTGTTGAATAACAGTAGAAATTTCTTTGAAAAAAACAAACAAAACAAAAACGTTTGCACGGAAGTGTGCACATACATTAATACCATGTGTCTTATAAGAATAGTTCACCTAAAAATAAAAAACCTGTCATCTTTTACACATTTGCATCATGACTTTCTTCTGTGGAATTTAAAAGAGGATTTTTAAAAAATTCTATAAAAAAAAGAAAAAGTGAGAATACCACGGCAGCACTGAAAATGTGCTTTTCTTGAAATCAGCTCTAATATAGAGCACTCTTCACAGTAAAATCAAGCCTTATCAACGACAGTGAACATATTAGGTCTGAATATTAAGGTAGATTTAGTCAGTCACTCAATAACACTTTCTGAGTACGCTACTAAAGTAAGTGCATATACAGTATATTATGTGATCTGTGCTAATGACTATATTATTATTGCATAACGTTTACATGCTTAGTTGTTGTTTTTTTTGTTGTTTTAAAGTGCTTTAGTGATACAGTGAATGGTAGGTTGTTCTATACAAAAGGAGAGGTCTAAAATAAAAGTTATTTATGGTAAATAGATACGGAATGTTACAAACATGCATGCACACAAGTGAAGTAGCAGGAGTTAAAGCTTCTCCCTTGTCATTTGAGTCTTAAAACCTTCTGTTTTCAATAAAAGAAGATCTGTGCGGTTTTCCTCAGCAGTATTCCCATGGTGGTCACAAAAACAGACAGCCATGAAAAGAAAAGCCGCTGGCCAGATTGCTATATAAAGCATCATTTGGAACGTCAGTTCTTCCTTAGAGCTTCGTGTTGATATGTATTCGCTCTGTTACCTCAAACTGCAATGGAGGGAACGCGGAGTCCCACACTTTTGACTGCTTTATGCATCTCATCTGCATATTCACAACGTTCCTGAGCCCTCCGCTCTACCCACGTCAGGTCTGCTGCACCAGTCTGCGGTAGTGGGGCATGACTTTACTCTCCGGTAGGTAAAGTGCCATTTCCAGAGCCACCAAGATAGTGAACTCTAAAGCAATCAGCTCTCGACGGCTAATCCGGAACCTCTCCTCTAGTTTCTTTGGGCAGAAAAAAAACAGATAGATATACATTAGAAATAGATAGATAGATAGATATACAAACACTGTGCTTTTTGTTGAAAGAAATGTATACCTTTATTCAGCAGAGGCACTTAATTGATCAAATGTGACCATAAAGACATTTATAATGTTACAAAAGATGTATAATTTCAAATAAATGTTGCTCTTTTGAATCTTACATTCATTAAAGAATCCACAAAAAGATTAAGCAGCACAGCTGTTCTCTATATTGATAATCAGAAACGTTTCTTGAGCAGCAAATCAGCATATTAGAAGGATTTCTGAAGAATCATGTGACACTGAAGACTGGAGTAATGATGCTGAAAATTCAGCTTTCAATAAAAATACATTCAAATACAAAACAGTGATTTTAAATTGTAAAAATGTTTCACAATATTACTGTTTTTACTGTATTTTTCGTTAAATAAATGCAGCCTTGGTGCATTTGGCAAACTTTTGAACTGCAGTGTATGTGTTGACTGGAAAGTGTGTGTCGGAGCATCACTCACGTCGATCAGTTGCTTGACCTCTTGTTTCTTCAGGTCGCTGCTGATCTTGGCGGCGAGTAGAATGCACGCGGCCGCCACCAGCTTCCTGTTCTGCTTGTTGAGACGCCCCTGTAGGACCAGCTTCTCAAAGTACACAAATGCCATGGCTATGGTGACCGGCTGCAAGGAAGACTCCTCTCCTACTGAATGGATTTCCCTCTTCAGACTGATGAAGAGATGGAATGAGATGTTGTATCAGATGATGAGATGTATCAACATCAGAGATGTTGGCAGACATAAAGAGAACAGACGGCAAAATAACATTTTTGAACTTTTAAAGGGTTAGTTCACCCAAAAATTAAAATTCTGTCCTTAGTTACTCACCCTCATGTCGTTCCAAACCTGTAAGACCTTCGTTCATCTTCAGAACACAAATTAAGAAATAGTTGAATAAAGTCATTATTTTTGTTTTCTTTGCGTACAAAAAGTATTTTCGTAGGTTCATAAATTACAGTTGAACAACTGATGTCACAGACTATTTTAATGATGTCCTTACTACCTTTCTGGGCCTTGAACGTGGTAGTACCCTTGCTCTCTATGCAGGATCAGAAAGCTCTCGGATTTCATCAAAAATATCTTAATTTGTGTTCAGAAGATGAATGAAGGTCTTACAGTAGAGCTGTGAATCTTTGGGTAAACAGCGAATCGATTCGATTCATGATTCATAGGGTTTCGATTCGATTCAAGAACAATTTTTGCAAATTCAGAACGATTCGATTCGATTCGATTCACAATTACATTCGATACGATTCGATTAACGACTCGATTCTGCATTCTTTAAGTGCATTCACAGGATTATTTAAATGCTTCCCCTGAATTCTTCATATGCTTAAGGGGCAAATTACACGGCAGCCTTTATGGAGTCAGAGAGTGAGGGCAAAAAATATCCACTTTTGTCCATTGTTAGATGTTAGTTTAATGATGCTATGGCATATGAATTTACACTAGTAAAAAAGTAATATAAATATATTTATTTCAAACGAAGTATAGTTCAAATCTATTACTATATTTACTGGTATATATCGCTCGAGTTACTGATATAAAAATTATAATTAAACTTTACTTGGAATACTACTTGTGCACAATGCACATTTCTTAATATTAAGTCTAAAATGTGTTTTAATGTCACTATTGATGAGAATGATATGATCTTTGAATAATATCGTTCTTTAAATGCAAGATATTTAAAGTGTACCTGAAGTATACTTGCAATAGTTCCACTTTAGCACAATCAAATATACTTCAATATATATTTAATTTGACTTTAGCACTACTTTCTCACAGTTAAAGTGCATTAAGTTCAAAATTAGTTGTTCCAATTTAGCAGACTTTAAGTATACCAGTTTAGTTTAACCTGGTTTCCCAGAAAAGGCAATAGAAAAAATAGAAAGCTAGTGTTTGTTAGTTTTTTGTTGTTTTTTTTTAAATAAAAAATAAAACAAAAAAGAAGATAAATATAGATAAAGTAGAATTAAAATAGAATAGAAAGTGCTAGAGTTAGAGGGTCAAATAAAGGTGTATACATGTTATACATACCAGAAAAATGACAATGCTGTTATGGTTTTGCTGATTTATTCTTCTTATAGAAGTGAATAAAGCTTGTTCAAATAAACCAAACTGATTTTCTTTTTCTTTTGTGTGTGTATGATAAATAAAAAACTGCAATTATAGTAGCTCATTCAGATGACCCCAGTGTCACATTATACAGTAGTTCTATATTTTATATCAATTCTATTAATTTGTCTGATCAGACTCATCAAACTTGACACATGAGGGATTCCCACAGAAAAGGAATTCCCACCAGGGAACGCTTGTTTCCAGGAATCATGTCACGGTTCAATATCTCAGACAAATAGCACCTACTGTTTTGCATAAGCAAATTTAAAATGTTTATTTAGACTCAAACAACTGAATAAAACAGTACAGTATTACTCTGAAATAACTGGTTTCAGATTAATACGGTTTATTCTAGAGTAGAACAGAAGTGTCAACTCTTTAAATCCAGCCAGTGAACTCTTTATATGTTTTTTAATTATTATAATGATGAGTTATGTATTTGTTCATGTTATACTCTTTTTGTTTTAACCATATCCTTTGTGTTTGTAAATGTGGAAACAAAAAATATGATCTTTCTGTATTAATAATACCCAGAAATAAATAACTTGCAGTTTTCAGTGATTTTAGAAAATATATTTGTATATTTGTGAAAGTGCATGATAATTCAACAATTATGACAATTAACACACAAAATTCTTCATACATAAACTGAATGTCACCTGCAAATGAACAAAAACAGGTACAAACAGAGAGAGAGAAAGCATAGCAAGGGAGCGCATGAAAGGACAGCTTGTACTCAAAGGACATCAGTTAGAAATTAGTTATATTTGTAGTAGTATATCTTTAAGAAAGATGCTAATATGATTTCAGCAGCTCTACAATACAGCCATATCCCTTATCTGCTGCTGGCGTCCTTCCCAGCCTTCCTATCATAATTCATAAATAGAAGATTACTGTAGCTAAATATGCTGAACTCCTCAGAAGAGATCAGAGGAAATTTATTTTATGATATATATAATAAATTCGCCTGTAGGCGAAAACACAACTGAAACGTCCAATTGAAAAATAAAGCTAGACGACTGGCTATCAGCTGAAATGGTCCACCGAGCTGACATATTATCCTGGATAATATGGTGTGGGAAAATAAAACCGTATTTGTCACAATTGAGTTACGAGTGAAATTGGGTCTGTTAGAATATGATCCATCCAGTGACAGAAAGGTTTGGCTCAAACATTCTCAGATTTAAAAAACAAACAAACAAAAGAAATACTACCCTTTCAATGCATGCAATTACGGTGATTTGCCTTTGGAGTGCAGTACCGGAGGCTATAGAAAAATCAGTGTAAATAAACTAAATACAACTGCTTTACTTCCATTTTTTCCCTTAAATTATTAATTACAAAAAAAATCCTAGGCACTTTAATTCAACGTGTGTAAAACTGATTTTATACCCATTAGACCTGCCATTTCAGTTTGTTCAGGGGCTCTTGATCACAACAAAGTAGCACACACACAAACATAAAACTAACAAAGGCCTGACAAAATATCTCCTAAGAACATGAGTGGGATGCTGCTCTTTAGGCCTTTGTAGCAAGATCCACTTCCTAACAGCTTTCCTATTAACATGTGATTGCAAATCGCTTCCTCTAGAGGGTGGCTCTAGCATACTCACTGCTTAAATAGTGCTTTCATAGCACAATATCTGATTAAACACAGTATATTACTGGAAAACAATGTCTTATTTCAGGATTACTATCATAAAAATATAAGACAGACATTTGTGGACAACATTACCAGCACATCATGTAAGTAAATAAAAGGATGTATAATACATCAGTCTATAAAGGACAAAGCAGCCATCCCCAAACTGGCTACTGACAAACAACACAACATTTTCACGCAGCATTAACAGAGGGCGTCTGCACTGAAATTATGAATGCATCAGGCAGACATGGATGAATTGAACTGGAAATGGGATGTTTTGTGAGTAAATGGGACAAAAGCATCTAAAATATTGCATAGATTGTGGGTGCTGGAAGAAGAGAAAACCTTTTGGATAAATCATGATACAGTATGCCGCATGGTCATGCTACTAGTTGAAAAATTGAGACAGAACACAGAATATTATGGCAATTAATGAATAAACAGTGAAATTAACATATACACGTGCTCACCAAGGCTGCATGTAATTGATTAAAAACACAGTAAAAACAGTAATATTGTGAAATATTATTTTTGTATTGTTTTCTGTTGTAAAATGTAATTTATTCCTGTGATGCAATGCTGAATTTTCAGCAGTCATCATTACTCTAGTCTCCAGTGTCACATTATCCTTCAGAAATCATTCTAATATGCTCAACAAACATTTCTTATCATCACTGTTAAATTATTATTATTTTTTATTTTTTGTGGAACTGTTGTACCTTTTATTCAGGAGTCTATGATGAGAGAACGCTCAAAAGAGCAGCATTTATTTGAAATATTAAAGACATGAAAAATCTTACAAATGATTTTTGTCACTTTTAATCAATTTAATGCAACCTTGTTGAATAACAGTAGAAATTTCTTTGAAAAAAACAAACAAAACAAAAACGTTTGCACGGAAGTGTGCACATACATTAATACCATGTGTCTTATAAGAATAGTTCACCTAAAAATAAAAAACCTGTCATCTTTTACACATTTGCATCATGACTTTCTTCTGTGGAATTTAAAAGAGGATTTTTAAAAAATTCTATAAAAAAAAGAAAAAGTGAGAATACCACGGCAGCACTGAAAATGTGCTTTTCTTGAAATCAGCTCTAATATAGAGCACTCTTCACAGTAAAATCAAGCCTTATCAACGACAGTGAACATATTAGGTCTGAATATTAAGGTAGATTTAGTCAGTCACTCAATAACACTTTCTGAGTACGCTACTAAAGTAAGTGCATATACAGTATATTATGTGATCTGTGCTAATGACTATATTATTATTGCATAACGTTTACATGCTTAGTTGTTGTTTTTTTTGTTGTTTTAAAGTGCTTTAGTGATACAGTGAATGGTAGGTTGTTCTATACAAAAGGAGAGGTCTAAAATAAAAGTTATTTATGGTAAATAGATACGGAATGTTACAAACATGCATGCACACAAGTGAAGTAGCAGGAGTTAAAGCTTCTCCCTTGTCATTTGAGTCTTAAAACCTTCTGTTTTCAATAAAAGAAGATCTGTGCGGTTTTCCTCAGCAGTATTCCCATGGTGGTCACAAAAACAGACAGCCATGAAAAGAAAAGCCGCTGGCCAGATTGCTATATAAAGCATCATTTGGAACGTCAGTTCTTCCTTAGAGCTTCGTGTTGATATGTATTCGCTCTGTTACCTCAAACTGCAATGGAGGGAACGCGGAGTCCCACACTTTTGACTGCTTTATGCATCTCATCTGCATATTCACAACGTTCCTGAGCCCTCCGCTCTACCCACGTCAGGTCTGCTGCACCAGTCTGCGGTAGTGGGGCATGACTTTACTCTCCGGTAGGTAAAGTGCCATTTCCAGAGCCACCAAGATAGTGAACTCTAAAGCAATCAGCTCTCGACGGCTAATCCGGAACCTCTCCTCTAGTTTCTTTGGGCAGAAAAAAAACAGATAGATATACATTAGAAATAGATAGATAGATAGATATACAAACACTGTGCTTTTTGTTGAAAGAAATGTATACCTTTATTCAGCAGAGGCACTTAATTGATCAAATGTGACCATAAAGACATTTATAATGTTACAAAAGATGTATAATTTCAAATAAATGTTGCTCTTTTGAATCTTACATTCATTAAAGAATCCACAAAAAGATTAAGCAGCACAGCTGTTCTCTATATTGATAATCAGAAACGTTTCTTGAGCAGCAAATCAGCATATTAGAAGGATTTCTGAAGAATCATGTGACACTGAAGACTGGAGTAATGATGCTGAAAATTCAGCTTTCAATAAAAATACATTCAAATACAAAACAGTGATTTTAAATTGTAAAAATGTTTCACAATATTACTGTTTTTACTGTATTTTTCGTTAAATAAATGCAGCCTTGGTGCATTTGGCAAACTTTTGAACTGCAGTGTATGTGTTGACTGGAAAGTGTGTGTCGGAGCATCACTCACGTCGATCAGTTGCTTGACCTCTTGTTTCTTCAGGTCGCTGCTGATCTTGGCGGCGAGTAGAATGCACGCGGCCGCCACCAGCTTCCTGTTCTGCTTGTTGAGACGCCCCTGTAGGACCAGCTTCTCAAAGTACACAAATGCCATGGCTATGGTGACCGGCTGCAAGGAAGACTCCTCTCCTACTGAATGGATTTCCCTCTTCAGACTGATGAAGAGATGGAATGAGATGTTGTATCAGATGATGAGATGTATCAACATCAGAGATGTTGGCAGACATAAAGAGAACAGACGGCAAAATAACATTTTTGAACTTTTAAAGGGTTAGTTCACCCAAAAATTAAAATTCTGTCCTTAGTTACTCACCCTCATGTCGTTCCAAACCTGTAAGACCTTCGTTCATCTTCAGAACACAAATTAAGAAATAGTTGAATAAAGTCATTATTTTTGTTTTCTTTGCGTACAAAAAGTATTTTCGTAGGTTCATAAATTACAGTTGAACAACTGATGTCACAGACTATTTTAATGATGTCCTTACTACCTTTCTGGGCCTTGAACGTGGTAGTACCCTTGCTCTCTATGCAGGATCAGAAAGCTCTCGGATTTCATCAAAAATATCTTAATTTGTGTTCAGAAGATGAATGAAGGTCTTACAGTAGAGCTGTGAATCTTTGGGTAAACAGCGAATCGATTCGATTCATGATTCATAGGGTTTCGATTCGATTCAAGAACAATTTTTGCAAATTCAGAACGATTCGATTCGATTCGATTCACAATTACATTCGATACGATTCGATTAACGACTCGATTCTGCATTCTTTAAGTGCATTCACAGGATTATTTAAATGCTTCCCCTGAATTCTTCATATGCTTAAGGGGCAAATTACACGGCAGCCTTTATGGAGTCAGAGAGTGAGGGCAAAAAATATCCACTTTTGTCCATTGTTAGATGTTAGTTTAATGATGCTATGGCATATGAATTTACACTAGTAAAAAAGTAATATAAATATATTTATTTCAAACGAAGTATAGTTCAAATCTATTACTATATTTACTGGTATATATCGCTCGAGTTACTGATATAAAAATTATAATTAAACTTTACTTGGAATACTACTTGTGCACAATGCACATTTCTTAATATTAAGTCTAAAATGTGTTTTAATGTCACTATTGATGAGAATGATATGATCTTTGAATAATATCGTTCTTTAAATGCAAGATATTTAAAGTGTACCTGAAGTATACTTGCAATAGTTCCACTTTAGCACAATCAAATATACTTCAATATATATTTAATTTGACTTTAGCACTACTTTCTCACAGTTAAAGTGCATTAAGTTCAAAATTAGTTGTTCCAATTTAGCAGACTTTAAGTATACCAGTTTAGTTTAACCTGGTTTCCCAGAAAAGGCTTAAGGCTAGTCCTGACTAAAATGCATGTTTGAGCTGTCTCAACTTTATAAAAGCTGGCCTAAAAAAAGGCCTAGTCCTGGCTTCTTTGAAACTGGGCCTAAAAGTACAGTTGCTGGGCAGGGCCGCATTAAGACCTTACTGGGCCCCGGGGCTATGACTTGCTTAAAATACGTTTACATGAAAAGCTTAACCTACATCATGCCGCGCAAAACGATTGATATATTTCTACCGGTTTATCGCTCAACCCATAAGCTATATACTTTGTTCAAACACAAAAAGCAATATACATTCATCAAGTTGTTAACTTGTTAATCAAACTAACCTAAAATCTGTGGAGACGATGACGCTGTGATTTTATCTGCTCCATGTGCCCGGTCCACT